ATATATATGTATATATATATATGTATCATATATATCGGAATTACTAAAATATTTATAAGCCAGTTTATTTGCGATCTAAGTTCAGCATTATTAATTAAATTACAGAGCAGTACGAGAAAAACTAATTTTTGAATTTAAATATCAGTATAGCTGACAGAAGCATAAAATATATCGGCATATCAGTAACACCCAGAAGTAAGATGTGAATGATAAATTTAAGTGTCGTATATTTCTGATTATCATCGGTCTGAGTTATTTTCTGAAACGATAAAATGTATTGACGGGGATAAGTAGCGTGCATGATTCGACAATACCGGCACTTCCTCCATTCTGTGCGCAAAGAAAAAGTTTTTAAGTCGGCCAATATTTCTTCATCAGCTATGAAGAAATATTTGCCAACTTGAAAAACTTGAAAAACTGAACCAATGTCAAAAAATTTGTCCGTCTTAAAATGAAGAAAGAAGTTATAAATATAACCAAATGTTGCAAGTCTTTGGCATTCAATTCACTTAGATGATCCATATTGTCACCGTCAATGAACGCATATAACTTCAGTCCAACTTCATCGTTGCAAATTTCGCTATATAATGCCATTAAATAATTTTATGTCGGCCTGTACAGTGAATCAAGAAGTCGATAAAGTCTAAAATTAATGAAATTTCCTGTAGAAGTTCAACAACTATCATATTATTGCTTATCTTTGGATACTTTGGAACGTTAAAACGTTCCAATTTTAATGTTGTGAAAAGCGGAAAGCACGACAATAATATGCTTTTTAGATTCTAAAAAATTCAGAAATCTGATCCAACTAAAAATCTGCCTTGCAGTTCAACGTTTAAAATGCAAATTTTGCATATTTTAAAGTTTACAAATTTTAGCTTCATTTCAAAGTCGGTTTTTAACTAAATCGGTTTTTTATGCAAATTATAACAAAACCGTATTGTGGTTTGATATATAAGCTCACTTCCAATCATTGAATGTCGTTACACCTTCAAATATTCAAATATTATTATCGTTACACCTTCACTATACAGTCTGCTATGAGATGCTGAAATGGAATTATTTGATGCCTTTTTAAGAGCTCCTTTTTCATTTTGAAACGAAAGAGAAATTTTTTGACATTGTTTCAACAAACGCAACTATTTAAAAATTATGAAAAAATATTTGCCGATTTAAAAACTTCCTTTGCGCACGAAGTGGATTTAGTATATTTTGTGTTTCTATTAGCTGCATTGACATTTGAATTCAGAAATTAGCTTTTTCATCTGATCGCTTTTTTTTCTTCGCTTTCAGTTTGTAATTCCATATTTTACTGATTATTAAACATTTAATTGAAATCAATAATTGAAATAAGCGTCTCACAAATCAAAATCCGAATTTACCTTTTTCTAAACCTAACTTCAGCATTTGTGATGTCATCCATTGTTTACCAATATCGCCAGTGACAAATATACCTTTTTGTCTAATAACTGGATAAACGTTTGATCTGAAATATTACCAAAAATTCAAGCTTTGTTCATAGTATACTGTGACATGATACTAAAAGATTCCTCTTCGAAATTATCTATTGATGATATAGGTATGCTATCGGGTTACGATCGATAAATTTATCGGTTTTCTCAGGGAAGGTTCATGTTGATGCATTTGAGAATTTTATTTTTGAAAAAAAAATATTTGAAAGTTGGCGGCAATTGTGGATGTTGAGTTATCTAGAAATCTTATTGCTTGGTTTTCTAGGTTTAGGTGGAAAGTCATAAACTATTTTTAGCTTTAAATTTAGCATGGAACGAAATATATTTGCATGACACGAAATGATAAGATATTAATATCAGAGGGAATGATAAGGTATATTTATATGACACAGAATGATAAGATAATTCGAAAATATCAGACAGGAGGATATAGGATACGAAATATAGTATATAACAAGATATAGAAAGCTAAGGAAAGTTTTGTTTTAGGATGTACGTATTGGTGTGTAGTATATTATTGATTCTTGATTATTTCTTGATAGTATTTTTTGGGAGTGGAAAATGTAAGGAATAATTTGTACAAAAAGATGGAAAATTATTTCAGCTTCAATTCAATTACAAGCAAATTTCAGTCAAACGCAATTCCGATTTTAGATTTTCGATCGATCGATCCATTTATTTATATATTGCACTTAATTGAGAGTGTACTATATCTACACAAATATTGGTGAGAAAGAGAAAAACAGGGGAGTGGATAAAGTGAAAAAAAAAGCCAACACAAATGGGTCCATCCGTCATTAACCAGTCGGCCTAAATAATTTTTATTTTATTGAAATTTAACAAAGGGATTGAAAAGACTACTCCAAAATTTGTTTGGCGTTGAATCACTTCTGTTTTTTTTCAAACTGAATGAAATTTATTCCGTCTATTCAAATTCATTTGGATTTTTGTTTTTTAAGTTAAAAACCTCATCGAAATTACAAAATCCAAGGTGTATTTGTTTATTTCTCTTAAAATTTGAAATATTTTGCCGGAATTCATTAAAATCTATTAAAGTGTTATCGAAATATAAATTATACACACTTTAACCCAATGAAAGTTTTATACATACAAAGAAGGTATTATGCATACCTTCTAAATTCGTCTAAAATTGTTTTTATTACTTTCCGAGAATTTGATTACCTCATTCATTATATAAGGGTTATATATTGATTTATATGGTGGTGAATTTAATGTAAACTAAATGTTTGACTAGAACCGAAACTTTGATATTGTTATAATTATCTAAGTTGTAAATGTTTTTTTAGAAACTAATTGACCTTTGAGAAACGGACAAATATAGGCTTTTCCTTAGAACTTTGTCCTTGCCGTAGATTAACTTTTTCTATCAATTTATTAAGGTGCTTTATTCCCTTTTCATCATGGAACATATTTCAGTCATTTTTTCTATTTTCAAAATTACGAATAAGGCAGTGTTTTCTTTTTTTATAGAAGAAGTATATGTTTAAAAAAATTCTGTTTTAATTTATGAACATTTCATTTACAAGTCTACAAGTATTAAGAGATTCTGTAGTTCTTTTAATTTTTACTTTTCTCAAGTTCCAAGTAACATGAAGCCTAAATGTAACTCACCATATGAGAAAAATTACCCCTTTGTATCAGGTATTGAAAGCTGTTTATCACCTAGCTTTATATCCATTGTAATATTCCTTATGTCGACTTATCCTTTCATGTCAATATTGACTGACTAATTAATCGTAGCATTTTTTAGGTCAAAAGTATGAATGATTCATGTGAAATGTGGATTAGATCGCGAAAGAATTAATTAATCCTCCATACTAAAACTAATTAATGAAGTGGCGTGGAGCAAAAAGGAAGTAATTATGTCAGGGAATTAAATCTTTCCTAATTATGAACTGAATTTCAGGTCATGGCGGTAGCTTTGTATCCCATATCCGGTACATTGGTTGGTTGTATTGGATGCATGTATTTTGTGGAATCTATTGCCAAGTACTATTCTTCATACTAAAATTTTCATTTCCTTTTTCCTTCATTTCTCATTAAAAGAAATTTTCATGAATTTAAAGTGCTCCAACTTATTTTCCACTTTCAGAAAAAGAAAGCATGCCGTAGAAGGTGTGCTCGATTCCTTGATTTTTTCAATAATAATAGTTTTTTTTTTTTCTCATACTGCAAAATTCATATTCACTTGAAACGATAGGAACTTCTAAATTCACTGGATTTTTCAAACAACATATCTTCTTCAAACAGATATAGGAGAACATTTCTGGAACATCAGGACATTCCTTTATCAAATAAAATCCGTATTTCTTGAAGATATAGCTGTGCTCTAGCCATGCTATACTTTCAACAAATACTGGTTTTGACTGTCGAAGCCAGAAATGTTTTCTTATTTTCGACTAAACTTAAAAATTTCGAAAACTTGACAATTCAGTCAATTTTTTAGGGAGCAACCGAGTTCGATGAATCTGATTACTTTTTCCACTTTTCTCTTCATATCGTTGGAAGGACTGATTTTTACGTCGAGATTTTTTACTGTTCCCAATAAAATCCCTATACGGTATGTTAAATTTCTGTCGGTTTTTGTAAAATTCACATTTCCTTTTCATCGATGAATTCCTTTTTCCATATGATTTTGAAGTAGTATTTTGTTTCCCAAATTTAAATTTATCATCAGTTATTATATGGGAGAAAAGGAAAAAAAAAGTAAAAAAAAAAAGTAAGAAATAAAAAAAAGTAAGCTGCGAGCTAATTTGTATTTGTGTCAACTAGACGTTTTCCGTTGAGGCATTTAGGTTACTCATCGATTATTGGATCAAGGGATTGATGAAAATAAGTGCTCAGACGGTAAGCTTCCTTCCAAAGAGATCAATAATTCCAGTAAAAGTTCTGTCATGTATTTCGAACTTTTTGACTTCATTATCGATTGGTCACTCAAACTGCTACCCTTTTAATTATTTTTCAGTGGTTATCTGCCAACAGTAATAACATTCTTTTTTGTCAATGTTATCAATAACCAGGCTCTGAATTTTCACGTTCCTGTCCCGTTGCATATCATATTTCGATCAGTAAGTTGCGTTTGACTAAATATGATCTTGGTTATCCACAATTAAATTAATCATCTTGAAGTTCGGAAAATATAATGCGTTTTAAAAAGAGCAGCGCCTAATTGTTTAAGTTGAAGATGAATTGGATGAGAAATGTTATGTTCATAATATGGTTATGTCTTTCTATAAAATGATATGAAGATGACTGATTTTTTATTGCATCATCTAACATTAATTGAACTGATCTTTTAGGGTTCACTATTAGCTAGCTTAATTCTCACAAAGATTTTGCAAGGAAAACAGTACTCATTCCGAAAATACTTAGCAGTTTTATTGATCACAACTGGCATAATCATATGTACTATGGCTACTGCTCATTTGGAGGTTATTATTTAAAGATACTTCAGGGAAAAATTTCGAATTTGAATTTTTCATATTTAATATATGAAAAGTTGTTATCATGATTTTATTGCGGTTACTATTGGCATTACTCATTTAAACATCAGTAAAATGAATGAAATAAAAAAAAAAGAAAACTGTTACGCGTAAAGTGATTTTGTACAATGACAAAGTAATGCTGTCTATGCAAATCTATGTTTTACTAAAAAATTCAACAGATTATTCAGACTATCCGCTTTCAATTATAGGATTATTGGGTATTTTAAAATTGCGATTTTAAAACTATTCATGAATTTCTCTTTTTCTTTATGTCTCCATTCGCATGTCTCTTCAGAGTTGTGTTGTATTTAGTAAGAATGACATGAGGGAACAAAGAAGGTAAAAAGTCAGTGGACGAAGATTTAAAAAATTATTGTTGACATTGCGAGTTTAATATGGAATATCTGTCAGTGGACCATTCGTGCGTCGATTATTGATTGGATTTTTGTAACTGTTAAATCTTCCAGAAAACGAACCAGCAAAAGACAGTGGATGACATCGAAAAGCACTATCGGGAATGGCTAATCGGTAAGCATATTAAATAAATTTAAGACATTATCATGTTTTAGACGTACTATGCAATTATAAAAATGATTGATCCGGTCATTTTATTCCCCTAAAATCGATTCAAAGTATTTCAGGCATAGCGATGCTTACTACTGCTTTATTAGCATCCGCATATTTGGGAATTTGTCAAGAAAGAATATATAAGGCTTACGGAAGACATACTGAGGAGGCTTTGTTTATAACTGTAAGTTGATACTTGAAGAATTGATTCTGTGGATTGGATCTTTAGCGTCTAACTGTAGGATTTCGGTCTGATAAAAAAACTGATTTAATTTCTAATGTCTTTCTGTTGGAATAAAAATTGACACAAATACTAAAGTACAAAAAATACCGGTGATAGTCTAAACTACACCAGGAATCATTTTTCCTGTCCATATCTTCCTTATTGATGTCCTTCATTTTTATACTGCACAAAGAATCTGTCTGTCGTAATAATATACAAATATTGCAATACAGTGTCTTGTTTAATCTATATAGCCCTATATTACAGCACAGCGCCTCATTACCATTTTTTGCATTTATGGGTGAAGATATTTATAAATCAGCAGTTGCATTTTCGCGTAGTTATCCAGTTAATATACTTGGCTTTCGTGTCCCGCACATGTGGGCTTATCTTGTTGCCACATGTCTTTTTACAGTATTGTTTTTTTTTTTTTTGACAGCTCCATTTTACATTAGATATGATTTTCATCCGAAGACATTTGAAAAAATATACCTTTTTTGGTCTTTATTCAGTGTAAGTGATAGAAAGATATTCAACAAGTTCTTTAATAAACTGTTTTATGGGATGTTGTTTCAATGAGATTGTTTTGGTTGAATATTCCCATCTATACCTGAGAAATTCCATACAATATTTAATGATTTGGTTAAATTAATTTTCAGATCGATATGCATCAGTTTTGTATATCGGTTAAATGCCACTTTTGAAGCGCTAACGGTAACAATGGTTGTTACTATACGGAAGTTCCTTTCTTTACTCATTTCCATTCTTTGGTTTCGGAACCTATTCACGTTAACACATTGGGTTGGTGCAGCGTTGGTATTTACTGGTACACTTGCATTTGCCGATATTTGGACTGACCGTACTAGTACAGTGAAGGAAAAAAAGAAAGAACAATAATTAATGACAGTACACATTTGAAATTTTCTTAATGAGTTCTTTAAATTCATCTCGCAGAATCATTCTGGCATGAATTGTGGAATAGTTCGAATTTTGTAAGAATAATCCTTATTTGATATCTCTCATGATTTAGTGCTAGTTCCATGATTAAAGACGTTAAATTTTGATAATGTAATCCAAGTTTTGAGTTGTTATATTTAGAGTGCCAAGTTTCAGCATGATAGTATCCCGTGTACAATTTGTCTTGGAACTATGGCTTGAAAAACTGTAAATAAATATCTTTTAGATCTTATATCTTCATTATATTCCTTTATTAGCATTTCTATGTTTTTTCGCTTTGATGCATTTTTCGAAAAGCTGTGGAAAAATAGTAAAATATCATGCTTATTTTGTGACATTTGTCTACACGAGAACTATATCACTTTCAACCATTCCTTCACTTCTCCAAAGAATAGCAACACATAAAAAAATTCTTATGTAACAATTAGTATCGAAAATTGTTCCATAATGATTATTTTAACTTAATAAAACCGTATTTTCACACCATCACATAAATTGGGATAATCTCATAAGATGATGTAATACGATGCTATGAAATGCCTAATTTTGAAGAAAAAAACCATCATTTCTTCTCATTATCAGCGTTTTATCCGTGAGTCTCGAGACTCTGTAGTCATATCACCTAGTAAATATTGATTCCATCCTAAATGCCTGGAAAAGTATTTCCCTACCTGCTTTGACAACGCATAACCTTTGAGACTCTTGCACCACAGATGGATTATTCAAGCCTTATAATGAAATTCTTTCGAACTTTTCAGGTAATTTGAAAAGAAAATTCTTTCGAAACTTTGCAGATAATTTGAAAAGAAAACGATAAAAAAACTGAAATGATTTAATGTCTTGCAATTTTGCAAATAGAAACTTTTCTTTTAATTTTGAAATGAAACGCTCCAATCAAATTGAAAAATATTTTATAAGGAATTAGACTATAAGGGTTTTATCCCATTATTTTTCATATTTTTCATCCTTTTTGTAATCATTTGCAATTCTTTAAAATGAAAATGGACATGAATATTGTCTTTGATACCATTCATGCTTCCCTTTAACCTTTCATTTTTAAAAAAGTTTTCCCCTTGTGGATGTTTGAAATGCATTTCTAAATTTTGATATTATTTTATTCTCACATAATTTCCTTTTTTCCACATATTTTTTTTCAAATGCAGAAATTTTGACAGATTATATCATTTTGATAGGTTATATCATTGACAGGTTATATCGTTATATCATAAAAAGGGAAAACTTTTTTACCATTTTGACAGATTATATCATTCGATAGTTTTTTTTCAAGAATTTTAATCCATAAAAATGGCTAATAGACTGCAAATTATTGATTTTCATCCTATCAATAATGGTTAAGATAAATATTACTTAATAGTATATCCATTGATCTGTTTATAGTAGATTTTTAAAACAAAGCGGAGAGCACCAAAGTGTTCATTAATTTTTTAATGATTCTGAAAACAATGCAAACTCTTTTTAGAAACATCTACTCAAAGGCTTTTACATGGTAAAACATCTACTTTATTAAGTTTTTCGTCAGTACTTTGTAGGAAGGAATTAGAAGGAATAAAAATAAATCTTTCATACTATATCATACCATGGAAGTTGATAAGAATTATGTAATATCGCTATACGTACCTCTGTTAATGAAATTCTATTAATTTGTAATCAACATGGAATCCGTTGGTTGAAATACCAAGAAATATGGCATAACAAAATTCTTTACTAGCAAAATGTTAAGTTTCCCTGAAGTAAGGCTAGTCAATTTTTATAGGGTAAATTTTAAATTAAAATATAGATTCAAATACTCAAAACTTTCGTTTTTCATTTCATTTATTTATTAATAAATTTATGTCCGATG